GTGGCTTAGGTGATGTAAACCTGCTAATAGTGATAAATATAATTACAGCCTGTCATATCAATTCCTTCTCTACCCAAACCTACTGCCACCGAATCCCAAAATCTTTTTCCCAGATCACCTAACAAGAATTTAAACTGACCAACTTTTATTCAGCAAACATTTATTAAGACCTTTGCTATATCAAATTTTTGGTCTTGACTTTAGATAAAGGAGAGAATAACAAGAGAAGATATTTGAATAATCTGGGCACCAATAAAGCAGAACTGACCAAATGATGCTCAAGTTTATCCAGCTGCAAACTCAAAGTGTCTGAAATAAGTTGAAGGGCAGATAAAGTCAGAGAGTAGCCATACCTTCAAGATGAAAGAATTATTAACATCTTTGATTCTTAAAATTACCTATCCTAGGAAAGAATTATGCAAATTTACACTCATGTTTTTCATTTGAGAGCAGTAACACAAGAGAATTAACAGAGCTCTGGTGTACTGAGACAAAAAAGAGAATGAAAAAATGGTAGTGGGGACTGGCATATCTTTGTCTTTTGTGCTCCTCTTCATTTCCCTGAACATGTAAGGCTAGAAGAGAAAACAATGTCAGACAGAATATCATTTCTGTCTTCCCTGAGGCTCTGGCCCACTAATGCTCCTCTCTTAGAAGTAGGAAGACCAATCTGCTGTGGCTTCTGAATCAGCAGGAAATTACAGCTAAGTTAGTTGTTTTATTTATGTCTGAGTCAAAATGCTCCTTTCAAGAACAGTGACTCATTAGAAGTGACTCTGTGTCCCCAAATTCCCTCTTAATAAAGAATGCATTTCCTTTGTACCCTAGGAGATGTGGGCTCTCTATAGATACTGATATGATGCAGCAGGCTGGGAATATATACCAGAGTCGCTGGCATTAATGGAAAATGAAAATGTAATCCATCCTTTAAGGGTGCAATGGACCCAACAGCTTATTTATGCCATTTAGAGAAACAATGATAAAGAGTATCCCCAAATCTCTTTACATTATTTTTATTGCTCCTTAGCAGATTTTTCCCTTCCAATAATAACTGGTTCAGTTTAATACTAAAATTGTCATTATTTAAACACTTCTGGCTAAAATTTCAACAGATACCTATGTGGTATCTGACAGATATGAACTGCTTCTCAAAACTGAAGGTGCAAGAAATGTCACACCTTATTTTTGTAAATAAACTGTTCTGAGTACCCAAGCAACAAAGTCCATCTTAATACTTTCTCCTCCTCTGGGCTAGCAGGATCTTACACAGTGGAAAAGCCACAAAATTCAGTACTTAACCTCTACCGGTATCCATACAGTCAGATCCTACATGAGTTGTGGTCAGCACCAGAGCATTTCACCTCTAGTTTTCACCTCTAGTGCCAACATAGTACAGAACTTCAGGAGTTAGAGGAAAGCCTCTCCCCAAATTTATCTCCTTTCCAGGAAGCCACTGCTCAGAGTTAGCCCATTCTCCCCTACTATTTCCTCTCCCTCATACCCATTAATCCTTTCCCTGCCCTGACAATCCAGTGTCCTTATGGATCTATTAAGAGGTCACAATAAGCAAGCCTTGGCCCATATCCATTCAACAGAAGTATTTTAGTTGGCCTGAACAGTGTTACTGTTGTTTTTCAATTGAGGTAACATTTAAAAATTGGGAGATTTTGCATAAAAATCTGAATTATGGTTTCTCAGGAGAAATTTGAAGATCTAGCAACAACTGGGTCCATATATCCCTACATGGCAATAGCTGGAGGCAGAACAGAGTAGGGATCGCCCCATTTTTAGTTTGGAGCTGTCTATAAGATAATCTTCTGTTACAGTGAAGGAGCTTTAACTTTATCCTGTGGATAGCAGAGAACCACTGAAAATGTTTAATTGGGAAATAAGAAGACTTTTTACTTCAGACAGATCATGTTGGTGGTAGTGAAGATACAGTAAAGAGGCAAGAGTAGAAACAGACTGGTCAGAGGTCTACTGCATTCATCTTAGGGGGATGATGACCAGGGCCTGACCCAAGATGACAGAATGGAAAGGAAAACTACAACTCAGACACATTCAGAAAATGAACTCAGTAAGGCTTAATAACAAACTGAATAAATTGAAGAATGGAGACAGGTGGGGAAATGGATAATTCTCAGCTCTCTGATTTTAAAGTTGGGCAGATAATGGCAGACAGTGGTACTATTTTTAAAGATGGGGAATTCTTCAGGAATATATTGGGCGTAGATAAAGTTTAGTTTTGTTTTTTTTTTTTAAGTGTATTTGCATTTGGAGTAGGTATAGGTCATCTGGGTCAAGATATCCAGAATTCAGGAGGCTCTACATAGATAGAAATAGGGATGCTTTAAGGGAACTTAAGTCAAAATGCCCCATGGCATCAAAATTTCTGTGGAGAAAAAATAAAAGATACAAAGCTTGGGAGAGAGACCAAAGGTCTACTTACAGTTTGGGGAATCATCAACATATAAAAAGATGATTGAAGTCATTGGAGCAAGCAAGATTGCCCAGAAAGTCTAAACTGAGAAGAAAGACAAAGGACAAAACCTTTAGGAACATCAACATTTTAGGAGCAAGCAGAGAAGGAAGAACAACAAAGAGACAGAGATGGAGTGGTCAGAGGGAAACAAAAAGAATCCGAGAAGAGTGCTGATACAACAGGAAGGGAAGAAGGATTCAGAAAGGATCTGGTCCCCAGATCAATTGCCACAGACAGGTCAAAGATAGTAAACAGTGAGCGGAGACCTTTGGTAAAATTAGTGCTTGGGGAAAGAAGAAAGATGAAGTCATTCACTTCTGTAGTTTCTGTCAGCCATGGTCTGGCTCTCTCAGTAGCAGAATTTAAAAAAACATTTCTAAGTAATTAGCCTCCAACTAATAAAAATAAATGGAAAAATAAATAAATAAATGTATACTATAATTATGAAAAAAAAAAAGATTTCTGGGCCCATTCCCATGACATACTTGAGGGATTTCATCATGCTATTGCTATGATGAAATTATAGGCTATGAGGATTTCCTTAAAAGCCATATAAAGACAGTGCCCTCAGATATCAAGCAGGATGGAGACATAGGAAATGGCAACAGTAAGTCTGAAAGGCTTTGACCCTAGTGGAACACTCTCTTCAACAGAGTTCTCATAGCCATGCCAGCTTTATGCTTTCCTCTCAAGAACACAACCCTCATACCAGTTACAGCTACCCCAAACATCAAAGTATACCTTCTTCCAAATTCTCCCAATGTAAAGTATTTTAAATACTTCAAACACAGTCAGCTCCCAAGGAATTATATCCAGATTTTGTCTCACTAGATGCTACTTGCTACATTACTATCTTCAGCCCCTAATCCTCTTCTACATCCACAATATTTCCTCGGTACTATGACCTTCACTTCTAACTGCCCAAGACCCATATCCTACTCCCCACAGAGTCCACTTCCAATATTGGACATACCTGGCATGGCCCCATGGGACGCTATACATTAAGATAAGCTTATAAGGAATGAACATGTTTAGAGTATTATCTTATGCCTTTTAACTCTGAAAAGACAATGTGATACAATATAGTGTAAGCCATGACAGTTGGATTTTGCTTTTCTATTTTTAATGCAAGTGCCTGACTTAAGCGTTGATTGCTGAGGCATCTACTTCAAAAATGATCTCAAATAAACACACATATAGTCCATGGAATTCTCCAGGCCAGAATACTGGAGTGGGTAGCCTTTCCCTTCTCCATCAGATCTTCCCAACCCAGGGATCGAACCCAGCCTTCCACATTGCAGGCAGATTCTTTATCAGCTGAGCCACAAGAGAAGCCCAAGAATACAGGGGTGGATAGCTTATCCCTTCCCCAGTGGATCTTTCTGACCCAGGAATCAAACCAGGGTCTCCTGCATTGCAGGCAGATTCTTTACCAACTGAGCTACCAGAGAAGCCCAAATACACACAGCCAGTCACAAAACTAGATAAAGATCAGAAGATCTTGGTTGATTTCCATAACTGACTATTTTGACTACTTGCTTTTTACTTTTTTCCTCCTCTTCCAATGCTTTAAATTCCTGCTCTTATGTTTTGGATTCACCAGTAAACAGTTAGCTCTCACTATCCTAGGATCATACACTCAATCCCAATAAAAAGCAGAACCTTAGGCCCATGCACTCTCTCTACCTGTGACCTCTCTGTGTGGTCCCAGATATGCAGTGTAATTTCCAAATCCTATAATTATAGTCAAAGCTATGGTTTTTCCAGTAGTCATGTATGGATGTGAGAGTTAGACCATAAAGAAGGCTGAGCACCAAAGAATTGATGCTTTTAAACTGTGATGTTGGAGGAGACTCTTGAAAGTCCTTTGGACTGCAAGGAAATCAAACCAATCAATCCTAAAGGAAATCAACCCTGAATATTCATTGGAAGGACTGATGCTGAAGCTGAAACTCCAATATTTTGGCCACCTGCTGTGAAGAACTGACCCATTGAAAAAGGCCCTGATGCTGGGGAAGATTGTAGGCAGGAGGAGAAGGGGACAACAGAGGACGAGATAGTTGAATGGCATCACCGACTCAATGGACTTGAGTTTGAGAAAACTCTGGGAGATGGTGAAGGACAGGGAAGCCTGGTGTGCTGCAGTCCATGGGATTGCAAAGAGTCAGACACAACTGAGTGACTAAACAACAACAAAAAATAATTAATTAACCTTTATTTCTTCAATTTCCTGATGGTTATTGCTGAAGGGCATTTTGCAATCATAATAAGAACATTAAGGGCCAGTCCAAATACAACATTGGTTATTATTAACAGGCCAAGATCAGCACAAAACATACAATTAATAACATATTGTATTAAATTATTGTCAGGAGGCCAAGTTCAGGGTTGACTCTGGCACAGCTTTGTAAATTACCTTTGCATCAAATACATGTAAGATACCACAGTTGACATATCTAAAGTTATAAAGGAATATTAGGAATTTCCAGGGCAAATGAGTATGATTAAATGGCCTTACCCTGTTCAAACAGTTGAAGACACCTAAAGGTAGATGCTCATCTGAATTGGAGGCAAGATATAGAAAAGTCAAACCAGTAACTAACAAAACCTTATTCCACTTAACTTTGATAATCATATTAGGAGGGCAAATCTTCTAGGGAATTTTAGAAAAGATCATAGAATGTCTCTCAAAACCACAAGTAATTATTTTCATTTTCTGAATTACTGTGAATTATTGAATTTGGCTATATTGTATAAATTTCTTGATAATTCATTTACTATAATGTTGAAAATCGAGACCTTATCACCTAAGTATTATAACTTTCTTTTCTATTTGACTTTTAAAGGCTTTTTTTTCATGATTTTCAAGTGGCAAATTTAATTTTTATTAGAAATTTTAATTTTTATTTGGATAAATAAGAATTATGAATAACTGATTTTTTTTACTTCAACTGATTTAATTTCAGTTTGTGTTTTGTTAGTCTCTAAAATTGAAATATAGCATTTTCTTAGATGGAGTAGATGGAAATATAGCTTTGATATTAGAAACACTTGAGTCACACTTCTCATCAGATCTTTGGCAAGTGTCATGACTGCCAAGAACTTCAAATCATCATTTGTAAAATGAAATGAATAATACCTACCTTGTAATATTATTTGTGAAGGTTTAAATGAAAATTACACACAGCGCTTGACCCACTGTAGACACACTAATATTTGACAAGGAAACCAAGAATACTCAATGGAATAAAAAACAGTCTCTTCAATAAATGGTGCTGGGAAAACTGGATTATAACTTGCAAAAGAATGAAACAACCCCTATCTACACCACTCACAAAAATTAACTCACAATGAATTAAAGACTTAAACGTAAGACCTGAAACCATGAAACTCCTAGAAGAAAACATAGTAAAAAAGCTCCCTGACCTGGGTCAGCTATTCTTAATAACCTTTACAGACTATAGCCATCTCTCTAAATTATTAAAAGTAGATTCTAGATAAGTAGAAAGGATTATAGATTTCATATAACCAAAGAGCTCCCTGCCAGCCAGGCAAAGATTGATATATGTTGGATGTAGAGCCACACTCTCTTATGCCAATTCTTAAACCAAAATTTTTTCTAAAGACCTAAAGCTTTTCATTAACTCATTTGACAGCAAATTATGGCCTGAACTCATTCAACAGTTAAATCCCGACCTAAACTAACATGAAGTCTTTATTTATTTCACTAGATGTAAATTTTCCTGTGCTTCACTATAAAATAAAGTTATTAATTTTTTATTATGGGGTGCTAACCTAGTCCCTGTTGGGTGTGTTTCCCTAGCCCCTGCTGGATATGTTAGTTATAGACAATATGTGCTCTACATGACAATCTTAAAATCTAAAAAAACTCTGAATTTTGAACAACAACTGGCCCCAAGGTTTGTGATAAGATACTGGGGACTGTGGTTGCTTTCTTGATCTGCTACACTCAGGGTTTGTAAAAGGATAAAGAAGGACAGAATGAAATGGTATCACGATTTTTTCAATTACTTAGAATCCCAACAGAAGGCCGAAGAAGTCTGTCAGATGTACTATATGCAGCTACGCTCTGGCCTTAAAATAGAAAAAAAGGCCTGTTACTTTAGGAAAGAAATCACCAGAAGGCATTCATCAACAGGTAAGGAGAAACTATGCATTTCCTGATAATTTTTCAACATAATGATAGGCATTGATTTGCCTTCACTTATCACATCAAGATAACATAATTTCTTTCCTCATCCAAATTCCTTCTGGAAAAGAGTAAGGATGAGGAACTATTTTTTAGTCATTTTCAGAAGGGCATATAAAGTTTTTCATGTGGAAGAAATGGTTATATCATGTTAAGTAAAAACAGAGGATACAAAATTATAAATATATTTTATAATATTTTTAAATGTTTTTTCTTTCATTTAATTAAAGTAATTTAAAATGTTAATAGTGGTTGCCTTTTGGGTGTTGAGACCATGAGTGACTAGTTTTCTTCTTCCTGGACTCCAGTGAGTGTGCCCTATTGGAATATAAGTATGTAGAAAGTATTGATTCTTTCAGACCATAGCATGACCAAAACCCTGGGGTCAGTCATGACTGTGAGCAAGTAGCCTTGCCTGGAAGTCCTCAAAGGGGTGATGGGAAGGGATCTGCACTGAGTGCAGACTGACAGTCCACTCCTATCCCCACCCATGTCCTGCAGCTGAGAAGCGCGAAGAGCATCTGGCATTAGCTACCTATGAGCAGCTGGAACACTTTGGACCGTCTGTGAACCAGGACTTCACCTTGGGCAAAATAGGGGTCCAGAAATACACTACACCAACTGGCCATCCAAGTATCAAAGGTAAGATTGGTCACAGGAGTGTGTGAGGTGAGAAGGGAGGTAGGACATGGGACCCTCGCAAGTGCTGGTCCAAGAAGCAGCCCCAACTCTACAATTTCATGTATATCAGAAACTTCTGTCCTTTTTAAGTGGTATCCAAAGTTGTACAGGGTATCTGCTCTAACAGTACTTGTGTATTCTATAGTCAGAACTATATTATTATTTTGAAATGCTTGCTATGGATTGGAATTTCATCTACATAATTCCTGAGAAAAATATATTATCCTTTTGGGGAAAAAAAAAAAACACATTATCTCTCCAAATTTCAACATTTTGACAATGAAAGAAAAGGAAGAGCTATTATATTTTCAAATACAATTTCAACTCAAAAATTTTAAATAATTGTTGATTGTTTTGAATTATATCACACACATGCAAATAAATTCAATATTTAAAGTTACTAATGTTTTATATATTATTTTCTTTAGCATAATTCTACACTATAAATAAAATATAATGATTTTTTTTTTCCTCTAAGGCCTATATATGTAGCCTCTAAATCTGATCCAGTTTACCCCAGCATGCTGCAGAAATATCATTTTCTGTGTGTGCTGATATATTAAAAAAATTAAGAGTACAGATTTAAGTGTTGCAGTTTTTTAGCCAGAAGACAAAACGAGGCTCACACTTGCATCCTCCAGGACTGCTGAAAGTCTCCAAGTAACTCCATCTTTACAGATGGGTATTCACTTATCCATGTCTATCAAAATACAGTCCCCTGTTGCCCACAGTTCCCTAAATCATGTGAAATTGAGACGCAGAGTTTTCTTCAGGCAATGTTTATCACTTTTCCAGTTTCTTTCTCCCCATCAAACCTTCCCCTAAGCACACTAATATGGCCTCCCATGGCCTTCACACAGTAGGCTAGCATCTTTGACTTCCTTCATACAGGAGGTTAGCATCTTATCATCCCATAACGTAGTTCAACTTTGAGCTATGTTAAGTTTGTGCCTGAGACTTTCATCTATGCAATGGTGATAGACAAAGTACAGCTCAAATTGCAAAGACAAACCAAAAAAACACAACACATTTAGAAGGTTTCTTAATTTCAAAAAAATTTTTCATGGAAACAAGTTTTTACATTCTTAATGACAAGATTTTTACTTGTTACAGAACATTCTGCTTCCCTGAGTACATACAACGATCAGTTCATTACTTTTGTTTTTGAGGATGGAAGCTATGAGATCTATGTTGATGACTTGATGAAAGACCAAGAGAAAGGTAGACTATTTCCTTTTGTCTATCATGATATAATGATGACTAGCAAAATAAAAATTAATAAATTTAACAAACTGTAAACAATAGATTAACTCAGATATGGCTAATAGATTTCATGCTATGTGCTAACTCCAAAACACTGGCAATAGATGCTTGAATATCACTGTATTGGGGAAGATTCAGAAGCTTATTCAGGGTTCATCAAGGAAGAATGATGATACTGAGAAGTCGTATCTGTTGTGAAATATGGAAGGAAGTACCACACATATTTCCTGCCATTAAATTATTAATATCTACTAGGTGTTTCCAGTTTTATCAATACCACTAGAGTATAATTCTAGCAAAAGAGTATACCAATGCTATGAACAGCATTTTAAATATTTTAATACCAACATTGCTGGAGAAATCCTCAGAGCACATTTATACATTTTTAAGACCGTTCTCAAAGCCACAAAAGTTTTGCTTTTATTGATACATAATAAGAGGATGTTTTCTGATGTTTTATATATATATATATATGTTGAAACTGAAATCATTTGATAAAATTTTATCTCACTAAAGGGATTTTATGCATTCTCTTTCAGACAAGGTGTTACTCCGTTACTATGATTCCCAATTCCCCTCAAGTGAAACAGGTAATTTGGGAGGCTGGGTAGCTCTGGGCTTGGCTTGAATACTTAAATTTAAGGTAAAGACAAATCCAAACAGGTTCCATAGGAAAAGAAGGTGTCTCAGAAGGTTCTCTCTTACCCAATTCATGGTAAAAATATTGGATTTTAGATTTTAAAAGGACTTATTCCATCTCATCCATTTTGCAGTTTAATAATTAGGATTAATTGGCTGCATTTAACAGAGATTCAGAATAACAGTGTCTTAAGTTACACAAAATTTTATTTCTGTTTTAGCTAGGCCATAATGGCAGTTCATCAGGTTGCCCGGGGACTGAGCTCCTTTCATCTTTGTGGCTCTGTAGCATCTACATGATTCAAGATTCCTTGCCACCATGAAATATCTTATCAGAAGGACAAAGGAAGACAAACTATGAGTTTCATTTCCTTTAAGAACACAACCTGGAAGTTGTACCTGACACTTACATTCACCTTATGTTGGTCAGAACTAAGACATATTGCTACATAAGACAGGCTTGGAAACATTCTATCATTACACAAAAGAGGAGTTAGATATTGGGAGACAACTATCAGTGGCTTTCCATGCAGACAGGGAAGCTGACACTGAGAGCAATACCCACTAGAGTCTCAATTCTACTATTATAAAACGTATAAGAAAACTAACCTCTCTCCTAAGGGGACTTAGAATTACACGTTACTGTCCAATGACTCTTTAGTTTTATCTGGGTACAAATATTTCTAATAGATGTGTTGGTGAATGAAGTAGTCATTTTACATCTTGGACTCTTTTCCTGGGTGTTAAATTCATTTAAATTAAAATGAGTTACAATTCTTAACTTTATAATTTGTGTTTTTTAATTGCAAGATGGTGGTGGTAATCATCGGAAGTTAATGGTAAACCTGAGCCCCACAAAAGACAAAGACTTCTTGCTGCATGCAAACAGTAAGGAGCACTCTGTGGAGGTAACAGAAACATACACCTAACTGTCATGACTGACTCTACTCATCTGTGCAGATTTGGGGGTTTTGGGTACTTTGAAGAAGTTTTGTTTGTAATATTGTAAATAAAACAAAATCAGTTACAATTAATACCTTGTTTCTGAAATAGGGAAGGGAGTAAAATTGGCAGT